TCGGTGCCACTCTCGATGTTTACCCTCGGTGCTACTCCGATGTTTACCCTCGGTCCTACTCTGATGTTTACCCTCACTCGTACTCCGATGTTTACCCTCGGTCTTACTCCGATGTTTACCCTCAGTCGTACTCCGATATTTACCCTCGGTCGTACCCCGATGTTTACCCTTGATGCTACTCCGATGATTACCCTTGGTGCTACTCCTGTTGTTTACCCTCAGTCGTACTCTGGTGTTTACCCTCAGTGCTACTCCGATGTTTACCCTCGATCCTACTCCTGATGTTTACCCTCGGTCCTACTCCAATGTTTACCCTCAGTCCTACTCCGATGTTTACCCTTGGTCCTACTCCAATGGTTACCCTTGGTGCTACTCCTATGTTTACCCTCGGTGCTACTCTGATGTTTACCCTCAGTGCTACTCTGATGTTTAGCCTCGATCCTATTCCTGATGTTTACCCTCGGTCCTACTCCCGATGTTTACCCTCAGTCCTACTCCGATGTTTACCCTTGATGCTACTCCGATGTTTACCCTTGGTTGTACTCTGATGTTTACCCTCGGTCGTACTCCAATGTTTACCCTCGGTGCTACTCCAATGGTTACCCTCGGTGCTACTCCAATGTTTACCCTCAGTGCTACTCCAATGTTTACCCTCGGTCCTACTCTGATGTTTACCCTCGGTCATACTCCGATGTTTACCCTCGGTGCTACTCCCAATGTTTACCCTCAGTGGTACTCCGATGTTTGCCCTTAATGTTACTCTGATGTTTACCCTCGGTGCTACTCTGATGTTTACCCTCAGTCGTACTCCGATGTTTACCCTCGGTCCTACTCCAATGGTTACCCTTGGTGCTACTCCGATGTTTACCCTCGGTGCTATTCCCGATGTTTACCCTCGGTCCTGCTCCCGATTTAATGGGCTTTTGCTTTCAACAGCTACAAATAATCTAATTATCTAGCCACTGTGGTACTGGATGATTTAAGAATTAAAGACACGATTAGAATCTGTTACAGTAATTAGAATCCTTTTTAAACCAATTGCCTGTGGCATTACATGATCTAGTGAAAGAAGGGCTACTGGCTAAATGCATCCACTAAATGCAAAAATAAATGTTAGTACAATTTTTCTTATTAGAAAAGTCAAGATTTCAGAAGCTACATAAGTGAAAATTTCTGCCCTTTCTTATGTTATTTGTGTTTGAAATATTTCACACATCGCTGAAGCCAATAGAAGGAAGATCACTGACTGAATGGGGTTTAGATTAAATTCATTTAACCAAATTGTAAATTAGTGAATAAAAGTAAAATATTTTTAAAAAATGAATAAAAGAAAAAAATCAAATGCAATGAATAAAAAAGAGATTTAGTGAATAAAAGCATCATTACCTAAGTAAATTGGTAGAAGTTATAATGAAAGAAGCATTAGTAGAATGGTAGGCATTAAAAGGACTTCTGCAAAGAAACCAAGCTCCCTACAGATCAGCTCAAATTCCTCAGAAGGCAGGAGCAAGGGTATGAGGATGATCCAGCTGATACAATATTCCTTGACTTCCAGAAGGCTCTGGCAGCCCTGTTTGATCAAAGGCTTGATCAAACAATTCAAGTCTAATGGTCCAAGAAGAAATATCCTTTTTTAGGAAAAAAAAAAAAGATGCTAGAAGGTAAAAAGTAGGACTAAATGTTTCGTTTGATGATGTGGGTTATGGATAGTGGTGTCCCACAGCCACCTGTGTGTGTTCAGCCCATCATTAACTGTCTGCACAAGCAGTGGAACTGAGGTGAGTAAATTTGCTGACAACATGCAGCTGCTCACTGAAGAGAATTGTAGAAGGTCCTCATAGACCTCAGCTAACAGGCAATAAAGGAGCAGACAAAACGCAGTGCTAAGAAGCAAAAAAAAAAAAAAAAAAAAAAAAAAAAAAAAAAAAAGATGTACTAAGAAAGATGTCTACGATGGTGGAGAATGACCCTACTTATGTGAGCCAAATTGATGCTCAGGAAAGAAATTTCGGAGTTGCTGACCTGAAGATATCAGCACAGTGTAGAGGGATAATCATAAAGACAAACAAAATAGTAGAGCTTGTAAAGATAGGAATTGTTAGCAAAAGAGAAAAAACAGTCTTGACACCGCAGTGTGACCACACCTGGAAGACTGCAGTGTATACAACCATGTCCCAAAGAGGATGTAGAAATACTGGAGAAGATACAGAGGAGGGTGCAAAGACACGCAGCCTGACACTGGCTCTGCCTGTGCTGGCTGTAGCTACGTGAAAGTGCAAAGAGTTAAATAATTCATAGTCCTGCTACTATAAGCAGCACCGAGAGCCTGGAGATTAGTAAATGATAGATAAAGCACCTCTTTGTTCAGAGACAATTTCCTATTAGTAAATGATATATAAAGCACCTCATTCTTCAGAAACCATTTCCTCTCTATTGTGCTCAGGCTGTGGCAGATGAGCAGGACAGGGATGATAAGGGATTGGCACTAAGTCACACAGGAGGTCTCAGAGCTGTCAGGATTCCTTATACCACTGGCATTTTTCTTCATTCCTTTAATATAGCAATAAGCCATGGTGCACACTCAGTGTGGCCAGGCACTGGGCAGCTTGACAGCTCGTGTAGCCTGTTGTGCATTTGCTTCCCTGTCTGCCTTCCAAGGCACGTCACATTTGCCAGAAATCATCCGTGACGCAGTTGCCAGGCTGGGAATAGACTCTCCTTCCTTCAGCTCTTCTCTCAATGCCCCTTGCTACCATGCAGACTTGCCCAGCTGTGCTTCCTTCCCAAGGGCGCATTGCTGGGATTTATTTGTATTATTTAACATACTTGCTGTTTTCACGACTTTGGATGTGAGTGAGGTGGATTTTCCCCTCTTAGCCAACCTAACATCCATCATTTCCTTGTATTTGACCTTATGCAACCACAGCAGAGCAGGACTCTGTCCTCTTCACTGATGCCACACTCGAGTGCTTTCCAATAAGGTGAAGAGTTGTAATAACAAATAACATCTGCAGCTTGGCTGGCCACTAATAGGAGAAAAAGTCTTCAGAGGGCCTAAAAGGAGCTTTTACAATGACTAATTTTTATTTGATGTTCCTACAAAGAACACTCCTAACTTCTGAAACCAAATATCAGGATATCAGGGAACTAAACCCTCCTGGTTCAGGACATGCACTGTGTTCTCTAATGGGCCTTTAGGAATGATCCTTTCTGGATGCATTTTAGGAGTGAAATCATTTAGATACTGTGGTGGTGAGTCACTGTCGGAAGTAACATGCTGAGCTACCTGGACCACTGGTTTCCTTCTGGAATGGCGATTCTGACCTCTCTGTGAATTTGTTAATAGCTAAAACAGACTAATCTCACATGCATTAGCCACAGGCAGCACCCACACATACAGATCCCAGAATCCCAGAATCCCAGAATAGTTAAAGATTGGAAGGGACCTCTAGAGAGGATCTAGTCCAACCCCCTGCTCCAGCAGGGACACCCAGAGCACAGGGCCCAGGGCGGCATCCAGGCGGGTTGGGAAGATCTCCAGAGAAGGAGACTCCACAAGCCTCCCTGAACACGCTAAGTACAAATTTAATGAATGCTTGACTATTTTTATGCCAAAAGCAGGATATGCTGAAAACTTTTGCAGTTAGAGGGATCTTCGACTGGAAAAGCAGGACAGAGCAAGTAATATGTTTTTGTAATACGGCTCGGTAAAAAAAGTGACTGTAGAAATATAAGGTGTGATTCATCTCGTCCAAATGAAGACATCTACATCCAAGCAAGACGTTCAGACTTCATTTATAGCTAACAGAGCGCTAGGTATTTTTAGGGTGCAATTCATCTGGCCTCGGTTAGACATCTACATTCCGAATCACATCCTGAATGCAGCCAGTTCCTCATGGTAGAACATGCGGAACTGTCCTTTGCTTGCGAGCAGGCTCTTGCAATCCCTCTCTGTGCTGCAGAAGATACCACTATCTTAAGCCTTAAGTATCTTGGGCTGCGTTTTCTCAGATTCTGGACCAGGATGAAGTAGGGGCCAGGAAAAGACTCCAAGGGGCAGGAGGACAGCTGCATTAGGCCCCATCTCCTTTGCTTCCCTCAGAAAGAACATTAACAAGTTGCAATTACTGCTCACAATAATTTATATTAGCCAAGGAAGCAGCTAATTACCTTTAATTCACTGGTGACAGTCATCTCTTTCAGGGCAAGAGAGTGAACTTCTCTTGCCTCTGAAGAAGCGAGCTGCCAATACAGAGGGCCTGAACAAAAACAGATGAGCCAAAAGGGTACTGAGCTTTCATCATTTTGGGCAATCATGACCCTGATGGTATCAGAGACCAACCTTTTTTTCCACTTTCTATGCCATAAAACAGCTCTGGACCAAAGATGCTGCTACTAAGTGACACTTCCAAGCATAATTTCAAGACAATGCAAGGGGAGATTCATCTAGGGAGTGATGCAGGGCGCCTGTGTCAGTCTACAGCTCTCAATGTCCTTCTCTCATCCATGTTGTATGAAGAATATTTACTGCCTTCTAAATGGGATGGGGTAGATATCCTACACTGTGCACCAAGAAATGCAGAAAAGATCTGCCAGTTAGAGACATCTTTAAGCAGATGAGCCCAATGAGAGTCAGGAATGACTGACTTAAATAAAACAGTGAAATCTTCTTTCAGTTGCAATAATTTTTTTTTCTTTTTCTATATTAAGGTAACAATGGATAGTCAACAAGGGAAATAAAGACAAGTTTAAAATCAACTCAAGCACAGTCATTCCAATGCTGCTGTATATTCTCTCTGTGATGGCGCTGCTCCATTCTGATCCATATCCCATTGGCACCCTTGATTTCTGTTGCATAATTACTACATTACAGCATTTCTTATTTTTAGGCAAGCAAAATCCTGCCAGCTAAGGATATAGTTTTAGGCTGTAATATGTATCTCAAATCCTCTCAAAAGCCAGAAATCTGCAATTACATGCTGAAATATTGCCTCACTTACCAACTGATATGGTCCAAACAGCAATTATTTTTGCGAAAGCCTTGGTCCTTGAGTTAAAGCGGCTGTGATGGATGGGGTTTCGGATGGCAATGTAGCGATCCAGTGAGATGGCACAGAGATGCATGATGGACGCAGTGGAGAAGAGCACATCCAAATAGATCCAAACAGCACAGAGCTTGGTAGGTAGAGGCCAGGTATATCCTGCACGAGAGAAAGTTGTCATCAGCTAAAAATATCACATATATCTGACGGCGGTTATTGTATAGCGTGTGGTCTGACAGGAAGAGGTTATAGTGAGTGATGTCTTTGAAAGAAATTGCCTGGCATTTCCTCTGTTGAAACCTTTGTATGTTTTTCATTTACTTCTAAAATTTCGTGTTTTGGGGCACCTCAACTTCTTTCCTAGAACTGCAAGCTTTTTTTTTTTTTTTAATTCTATGTGAATAGAATGCTTGATGCTATAATTAATCATCCTGGCAGCACAGTTAAGGAAAGACGGGCAATTTTGTCATTGTAAACATTACAGTTCTCAGTTTTCTTTTAGGTTTTTTTTCATGTAATTACTGTCTTATTAACACCTCCTGATATGCAAAACTTTCTGATATTTTAGGCAGAAACTGTAGATTTAGTGGCAACTGAGGAATACTGAAGAAATATATTTTGTTGCATACAGGTGATATTTCTGTCACTTATCATCAGGTGCTGACTATACACTTTAATAAGGAGGTTGCTCTGTATCATCAGCTAACAGAGATGGTCTCCTCCAGAAAGAATAGTCCAAACAAAAAGCATTAGTGTTTATCAATACCCAACCTAACTTTTCTTTGCTGCAAATTAAACAGGTTTTTTCCTCCTTGTTCTTTTCACTAGTCACAAAGAATAAGTGATTGCCATCCTTCCTGGGAGATACTAGAGGATGCTTATCATGTTTTGCCTTTGTTGTTGTTTGTTTGTTTGTTTTCTCTCCTAGACTAAACTAAGTCAATTCCTTTATCTTTTGCCTACGGGCAATGTTTTTTAGAACTTCTGTGCTTCTTGTTTCTCTGCCCTGGAATCTCTTCAATTTATCTGTATCTTTGTTATAGTAAAGTGGACAAAAGTGAGATTGGTACTTTTGCAAAGGCTCCCTGACTGCTAAGTGTGATAGAAGACTGTTTTACAGGAAATACCTTTCTACAACCTGGAATGATGATGGCCTTTGCTGTAAAAAAGAATTATACTATTGCTACATGCTTAGTTTATGATCCATAAACTAATCCCCCACCCCAACTTTTTTCAGTGTTCCTGCTGCTTGGATAAACTTCCCCTCTAGTAGTTTGTTTGATATCTTCCTCCTATGTGGATGTCTTTGCATTTAGCCTCACTGCATTTCTTTAGTTCATCCCAGACTTTCTCCTCAGGGGTCCAGATCACTGTAGGAAGAACTGATCCCATCCCTCTGAGTGCTTAGACGTCTCTCCCAGCCTGGTGCTTTTGAAAAACTTTGTAGGTTTTTCCTCTTTGAATTAGCTGAATTGTTAAGAACAATATTGAACAGAGCTGGGATAAGCAGAGGGCTGTAGGACTCCCATTCTAGGTCTGCAGGAACCTACTGCTAAATCCACTGCTAAATTCTCCTGGAGAAAACTTTGCAGCTATGCAGGCTTTATTTAGAGCATGTCACCCAGGCTGACCGTAGCAGTGCTGCACGGGGCAGTGCCAAAGCTGGTGCTGGGATAGTCTACTAGTTTTTCATACTTTTTCACAGGCAGTTTTTCACTGCCCATCTCCTTTGGATATTTGGAGCGACAAGATTTGCAAGAACAGGAGTAGAGGGATAAGCAGAGGAGCAAGACCCATGTCTGATTAAATCCAGTTCCAGAGGCAGGAAGACCTATTTCTCCATGCTCTTGGACTGCTTTAATATGAGCTGGCACTAACAAGTCTGTCAAGCATTTATGGAGATGTTTTCTCTTGTTTTCTAGTCTTCCAATGGGGAATCCAGTCTCTGGAGTGCTGTTAACTGAGCCTTGGCATTCAGGGGCATGTCTTGCCAACAGTCTCTCCCAGTCAGGCCAGGCCGATTTATGTAGAGAAAAAAAAAATTCTGCTGGACAGCAAATAGTGTAAATAAAGTGTTTTTGCACTTAGCAACATGCATGTGCTGTCTTGTCCTAGCAGCCTTTGTGAAGACCTTTTTTATGTCCTTCTCATCACTTGTGCTCACTGCAAGCCTGGCTGGGACAGTGATAAACAGTATCCCTCTGATAAGCTACCATGGAGGCTGTGAGACCATGGAAAGGGGAGCTGAATAAGTACAGCCAATAGCGGATGCACTAATGGTTAAGCAGTGTGTAGATGGCATCCTCCAGATAGGCCCTAGGGTGTTGCCTGTGGCTTGTGGTGTGGGGTACATTTGCCATGTTTTGAGCTCTGGAGTTAAGAGCTTAATTAAGGAGTTGGAAGGCAGGGAAAGGTTTGTGAGGTCCGAGATTTCCTGTGATTTATGGGCGCTCAAGAGAGGGAGTCCCATCCAAAAACAGACGAGTGATGCTTGCGCATCCATGTGCTCAGACGAGCTTATCCGGACTGAGATACTGGAGGAGGAGAGGTCAGTGAGTCCCTAGGATAAAGAGAAGAGGTTTTGCTTCTATTGAAGCCAGATGGTAGCAGACAGACAAGGAAGGATGTTTTCTCATGAGAACTTTAAGGAAAGGAGGCAAAGAAACGAAGCTGGCCAGGATGCTGGAGTACTGCTTGTTAGCAGAAAGAAGTATGTGAAAACACTCTGAGCAAAGGGCTAAGGAAGAAAGAGGGGTGAAGAGTCTGTAAGGGGTTCAAGGTCGCTGAGAGGGCCCAATGCACCATCTCCCTATAGCAGAAGTGCACCAGCTGGGGCTGTGTGTAGGGTTAGTGCACGGCTAGACAAGAGCGCTCTGAAATGCCTGGTCCTCCTGTAATCACTCCAATTTCCTTGCACAGTAGCAGGGAATTAGACAGTTTCTGTTAACAATCCCAACAGCCACTGGAATGACGTTCTTCGTGCCAGGGTGTCAAAAATCTCCAATATCACAGGCCTCCAGCTGCCCAAGAGTTACTTTAGTGGGAACCAACATCACTGTTTATCTCTCCATAAATTTCCTGTTCCTTGAACACATCCACCTTGACTGACAGGGCTGAGTGTTGTTGGGTATCTTTTACTTTTTGCAATGGATATTGATGCTGTTGGATAGATGAAGAAGCTGGCTTGGCCCAAAGGATACAGGCTGTAGTTCTGGCAAGCAGAACTGGGGCAGATGTGTCTGGGCTGGGTGGCCAAGGCACCTGAGTATGAATTGACCACAGTAAGACTTTAGAGAACAAAGAAATTCTCTCTCTTTTGAGCATAACTGATTAACAGAATCACAGAAGTGTTGAGATTGGAAAGGACCTCTGGATATCTAGGTCACCTATCCTGCTCAAACAGGGCCACCTACAGCACACTGCCCAAGACTCTGTCCAGGTCACTTTCAAGTTTTGCCCAGGAATTTACAGTCTGACCTTTTCCAATGTTCTATTACCCCTGCAGTAAAGAGGTTTTTCTTATATCCATAACATTTTCCTAATATTTAGATGAACTTTCTGGTGTTGCAGTTTGGGTCCATCTGCTCTCGTCCTATCTCTGGGCACTGCTGAAAGGAGCCTTGACCCATGTAGTCCTCAGTCCCCTTCAGGAGACACTGGGTGAGAATAGGTGTCCCCATCAGAGTCCCCAAAGTAGGTGGACATGCTGCTCATGGAGAGGAAACCCACTCACTCCCTGATGCATGGAAACAAGTATGATGCCACATGCAGGGTCTGCAGGGTGGGCAGTGGGAGGATTCCCTCACTGCATGGTCCTCAGGGGACCCTGGCAGAGCAATGTGGGTCAGAAGGCCCTGGGTTGCACCGGGACATGACATGACGTGGTGCTGCGTCACACTGGGATGTGGCCTGACCCGTGTCACCATCTGGATTTTCACTCCTTGTTACCCCCAAGGGCTCTCCTTATCCAAAGCAGTGCTTTGCCGAGGGAAAAGGAGGGGAAAAAAGCGGAGGCAAAGCTCCCTCCCTGGCGGCTTTGGGTGACGTGCTGCTGGTGGCCACCAAGGGAGAGATGTGGCTTCCCCAGCCTCGCTGCTGAGGGAAACGCTGCGCTCCAGCGTGTCCGTCCTTTCTGAATCGTGGCTTGCAGGCGGCTCTCCTCCGTGGCAGAGCGTGGCCAGCAGGAGTCCCTGTTGCATATCTCAGGGAATCACCCAGGGTTTGGAAGTGTTTTTGCTAATCGCACAAATCGGATGATTTCTGCTCCTACAGCTCTATTTTGTGTTGTGTTTCCCACTAAAGGTCACTGCACCACTAATAAATAGCAGAGTTCTACTATTACCAGCACCAAATGCAGTTTATAAATGCTATCAAGAGCAGCCTGTGCAGAAAGACTGAAAGGGATGTCTGGAAATAAATTCTGGTTTTCTGGATGAAATTTCCCTAATGTTACAAGCTCACACTCACAGCTCTAGTCCCCAGGTCCCAAAGCGATCCTATAAGCTATACAAGTCTACACAGGAAACCTGACTTTCTTCAAGACACTGCCTGTCTCCTCCTCGAACTGCAACAATTCAGTTGTGGCACCAGAGAATTCATTTCTCAAAGTTTAGGGGTGATAACAGCCTGCTAATATTTTTATCAAACACATAGCCTGCTGCTATTCTCAGTATGCAAGCTATGCTGCAGCTGATCTTGGTGACAAAGACAGGAAAAGTCTGCTATAAATCACCTAAAAGGGTATGAACTGTGAGCCATAATTCAGTTAATTCTTAAATAACTTCCCTTAAGCAGTCATAGCTGAGGTTTAGCTTTGCATTTGTAAATATTACTAAAATTAACTCCCATGCATTTTTAACTCTCCAAATATTTATTCCTGCATCTTTTGCTAAGTAGTTTTCTGAGTAGAATATCTGTGTTAAGAGAATGATTTAAGTTTGAATTATGTCATTAAGTAAAATTAAGGCGCTGCTTGCTTTGAATCTACGGTAGTCATTAGTACTTCTCTGCATATTTGCAGAGCAAAGTAATTATCAGGGCATTACATTCTCATTAGCAATATTGGAAATTATTAGCCAGGGACAAAACCGAAAGAATCGAGAGAATAGAGAATCCTTGAATGCATTTTGAGACAGTTCTGTGAGAATCATAGTAGTAAAGTAATATCCTGGACAATGCTTAAAATGTCTGTAATTAGAAATTTAAAGTAAGAAATGATTCAAATACTCCACTATTAAAGCAGTTGTATACATTTCAGCATGGTACAGAGCAATTACATTGCCTCCGTAATAAGAGAGAAATACTAACAGCAACAGCATGTGCATGCAATGCTTAAAGCTGCTCAATACATGCAGTAGATTACACAGGTAATACTCACCGTACAGGATGGTTAGCATTGACACAGGCATGACAAGGAAACCCAGCAGCATGTCAGCTATTGCCAGTGACATGAGAAAATAGTTAGTGGCGTTCTGCAGCTTTTTCTCCAGTGACACAGCCATGATGACAAGAATATTTCCAGCAATGGTTAAAACGATCACTATCACTGTCAGCAAAGCTGGCCAGTTTTTCTCCGAAAGCTGAAACAGGGAAGAATAGCACCGTGGACTCATGCTATCTTCACATGAAAGATTAGTCAGGTTTTCAGAGTCCCCACTCAAGTTAAAGGGATGTGAAATATTAATCTCTGCAGGTCCGTTAACAGCTTTGTAGAGTCTTCTCTCAAGATTTAGTTGCATTAAGGAGTTTGCAGTTGGATTCACAGAGCTCTCATCACAAAGAATATCCATTGCTAGGTCCGAGACTGGTGAGATAAATAGTGAAAAACAGGAGATTATCACCCTTTGTCACCATCGGGCTTTATATTCCTCAGCTGTCCATGCCAGAAGTTGGTAGAACACAATCTTTCCTCGCTTGTATTTTTGCCACTAACGTGCTGTAAAAAAACATATCTGAATTACTCTGAATGATGGTATGTTTTTTTTTTCGATTCCCTAGGAAGCCCGGCGTTAGCACACATCGAAAATCCAGCTGAAGAGCAAACCTAAAGTGTAGGACAGAGACTGTGGAGTTCAGGCTTCAGAGAGCAAAAATGTTGGAGAAATAAAAGAGAGAGAGAGAAAAAAAAAACTTTTGCAGCCACTAGGACTCCCCTCTGGAGCTACATCTTATTGCTATTGGTAACTGTAATCACACAATTTTAAACACAGCAGTTTTAAAATAGCTTGCCGTACAAAACAGTAGAGCTCTCGTTTCTCTATTAAGAAAGTTGATTAAAGAGTCCATCCAGCGTCTTTCTCTCAAAATAATTAGATATGCTTTTATTTATAGTTCATCTTCCATAATGTGGCTGATAGTCTCTGACTTCTGTCGTATTCTGGTATCATTTTCAGCCTCATATCAGAGATTACTTGTTATGCTCCGCGTTGATTTTTATAGCTAATTGCACCTTTTGGCCCAGCATGGCTTCAAAATGGAAATTAAGCAACTCAGCACTATGATAAAAAACAATGATTTAAGGAAGACTTACGTTGTACGTCAGAGCCCACATGCAAACTGCGATTAGGTTCACTTTGAACCCTGATTTACTGTATCCGTCACTGCGTTTAGCCAGTTGTATGTCCTTTTTCTTCAGTTGCCTCCAAAATGGTGAAATTTGGAATAGTTTATTATTAGTATTTGACTTCTAAAGTGCACACTTGAGCGAAGCCAGTTCCTGCTGTGGCTCTTGCTCTTTTCTTCTGAGAGATAGGCTGCTCGCCGGCTCCTTCTCTGTGCGTTTCCCCCGCCCCGGGGCAAGCTATATTTAAAATAATAAGAATACCGGAGCCCTCCTCGAAGTGACACAGAAGAGAGCACACCCTCCAGACAGAGCAGCCGGTACGAAGGAAATACCGATTTCGACAGGAAAGGAATTTCTTGCTCGCTGCCTTGCTCAGACCTCCCCCTCTCTACATGTCATAGACTGCAAGGTAGCAGCAGCAGAGGAGGGCAGACCAAATGGGTCTTTTTGTGGCTACCAGCACCTTTTTTTTGCTATAGCTTTCTGGTCAGTCCTGCACCCAGGTCTTTTTTGGTGCACGCTTTCTGGCTGTGGAGGATGCCTTGCAAGCGCAGCTGCATGCAATTACATGGCTTTGCAGGACGCAGGCTTAAAGGGGACCAAATATAAGGCTTGCGGTGGTAGATACCAATGACAACCCTAAGTGTGACGTTTTTCCACTGAGAGGGGAAACTCTGCCAGCCTTAAATGGAAAGGCTAGTGCTTAGTCCCTTTCAGTTTTAACTCCAGGTCTGTGCTGACGTGGTAATCGAGTTGGCAAGGGATACTTATAAAAAATTAAAGTCCCCCTGATGTCACTGCCATTTGTCACAAGGCGGATGCTACAGTTAACCCTGGTTGTCCCCAGCTGTCAGCCTGTCTAGAGGAAGAGTCCCAAATGAAGCAGTTTGTCGAGACAAAATACTGTACGGTGCAAGGGGACCCAAAATAACCCTACATGCTTCCTGCCACCTACTTTGGCTGCCAGAAAGTGAGCAAAGAACTGGACAACTCTCTAATTTTACACCTACCATGAAACCTTCTCCCAGTTCACTGAGAAATATAGTTGCCAAAAAAATCTTCTGAGGGGCCAGCTGATCCCTTGGCCATCCTGAGGCCAATATGGATTTTCCCAGAGGAGAAGGGGACAGCTGCATACAAAAAGACTGCACTCTCAGTGTGTGTGCTCAAGAAGACACAGGTTTCCAGGGGACATCTGTGTGTCACAGAGTGTTCCCTGGGCCGCGGGAGCCGCTTAGCTTGGTTCTCCACAGAGTGTCACAAACCCAACTGGCATTTCCTGAAGGTTACTGGAAGAGGAGTATGAGCTCTGGGAGAGCTACCGTGGTGACAATCTGCCAGAGTGTCAAAACCTTCGTGTAGAAAGAGGCAGAACTTAGTTCAGTATCTTCCAATTTCTCACTCACGAGCTTCATCTCCTGCTTCACCACTGCTGTATGAGTTTCAGTCTGAGATACTTCACCCTTCCTGTGCCTTGATGTCTAGACCATGGCTCTGGCATGGCTTAAAAGCCTACATATGAACAGCTGGGTGTTGCCATGCCCAAGTCTTCTGCAGATACAATTGTAAGCTCCTCAGGTTGGCCCTGAACCCTCTCCTTCAGTGTGGCTGTAGGCATGTGGTGGTAAAGGACGAGTGCCTTCTAATCATTATTCTCTCTTCCCAGAAAACCACCTGACAGATGTGAAATTGAGACATTATCTAATGAAAAGCAGATGTTCCTTTAGGGTTGTGTGTGAAAAATGTGGATGAATCATAAAGCCCTTTCATATGTTAAGGTCTTAGCCCAGTGTGCGGGAAAAAAAAAAATGGTTTCTTCTGGTAAAGTACATTGGAGAGCAAGTACTAAGAACAAGTATGTTGTATTCCTTGTTTCAGAATCTTTATTTACTAAAGTAATTCACCAAGAGCCCAACAAAGATCTGTGTTTTATTTGTTAATGCCATAGAGGTAGATCCAAGCAAGCCATAGGAATCCAAGCTTGCTCTGCTGAACCTGGTGAAATGAGGGTGCTTGGCTTCAAGGTATCCTTGTTTCCTCATAGACCAAGGTTGTATGCTCCGTTGAAAGTCAAATCACAGTGAGATACAATTAGAGATGTTTTTTAATGTCCAAAGTCAATCTCAATCATTCTTTTCCTAAAGATCAGAAGTTCTGGAAAATTCTAAGTCCCATGATAATCAATTTTGAAAAATTCTTTCTCTCAGGTCGTATTGGAGCCTTACACACCAGCCCCTGCATTCCCAGGCACCGTGTCTGTATCAAAAACAGAGACAGCTGCAGTGGGTTCCAATCTATGTAAACTAAGTGAAATCTTGTCTTAAAATGGTGATAATGTGGTTTGCAGCTAGACATAAAACATTCTTCAGGAACAAAACTGGCACTGGATTCATCTACATATTGCTGTTTAATTGCTGAACGGCACCAATGTATCAGACTCATGAGAACTGCTCCTCTGTTCCTTAGCACTGCTCAGAAATGTTGTAGGGCATTAATCTGTACTCTTGGGCAAGGATTTTGTGCTTGGCATGGTGCACATTTCAGCTTCCTAGTAGGGCAGCTTTTCAGCAGTTTCATATGAAAAAGGAAAAGGAAGAAAAGCTGCCGAGCATGACCCAAACTTACTGTTCTCAAGATCATTCCAGGTACAAAAATCTCCTCTTCCTGAGTTTGGCTTTGCCCTCCATGGTGCTTCGAGTGGGTTGTGCAATCAGTAAGCACAAAAACTACAACGTCCAATAGTTCATTCCTACAGCTGAGTGTGAGGCAAGTGGAATGTGAATAATTTTTCTTGTGGCCAAGACTATTACTATTTGGTGTCTCTGTTTACATTTATCAGGAACTGTTGGAGCACTTCATACTGTGGCGGCTGGAGATGTGAATCAGAGCTATGATCCTGCAGACCAGAACAAATAGATAAATAGTGCTGTGCTCTTCTCGACATGCACCCTGCAGGCGAGCCCCGTTCCCAACCTCCCGACCTTCCTGATTCATTCCTGTGTCATTAAGAGAGGATTGGTGGGCATGACATTTCCCAAAAATGCATGGCAGCAGCACCCCTCAACTTGTCTGTCCACAGCTGAGGACACCAAGCAAGTCATGTGCTGCAGCACCAGCATCCTGTGTCCTCCATGTGGATGTGGATCCCAGTCCTGAAAATCCAATGGTGAGTAACACAATAGTGCTGGTGCTGTTCTGGGGCATCTCTGCTATAAAATGATGTCCCTCTCAATTCAGTCCGGACTGCTTTTAGCAAGCAGCTTTTGAATGAGATCCAAATATTACAAGTTGTGGCTGAAGTGGAAGTTGGAATAACTCCATATAATTACAAGTTCTAAGTGTAATAAACATGAAGCAATCTGTAAAATGCAAATATATATTAAAAATATGTAAAAATAACATAAACTCTCCAAACCTCCCTGTCTATCCTCATCCACAAATGCAGGCTTCACTTTCTATTCAGTCCCAGGTGATACTGTGGTTTATCTCAAACTTTTGCCTTGCGGACATATGGATGCAGGATTTTTTGATGAATGTAGAGTATTCCTGCTGATTTATAGGAAGTTCTGCTCCCTAAACACCTATTCTTTATGCATCTTTTAAGGTACATAGACCTTTTACATTTTAAGAGAAAAGGTCTGTTCACCAATTTGTTCCTGTTATGAAGAGACTGCTGTTTAGCAAAAGTCAAGATGCCCCTTATGCAAATAGAAAACAAAGCAGAGGAGAGAACACAGGGAAACAATGCAGCGTTGTGTCCTGTTTCAGTAGCTTTTGCACTGTTTCTCCTTTTGCAGGAGAAGGCTATGCATTTTTGAGGAGCAATTTGAGGAGCTGGTCGAGGAGGATTGGGTTGACCTTTTCATATAATAGTAGGTGAGAAGGTTTTTGGCATCATAACCTAGGAGATCAGCATCTCCACCTCCTGATTCTCCACCTCCTCAGTGTATTTGCAATCCCAGAAAGGGTGAAAACATTCGTGTGAACACGGGGCACCATAAGACACCTCTTTTTTTCTGAGTAAATATGTGCCCTGTGAACTGTACTCTTGCATGTCAGATCACTTCTTTTAAGATGGTGTGATCCAGTGGAGCTCAGTGGAGTTGCTGTGACATAAAACTGATGTCACGATCTAAGGGCTGAATAGCATTAGAAAAAAAGATATCCTCTCTGCAGTTCTGACTATCTGAACATTTTCTTTCTTCATTGCTTTTTTTTATTTTTCTCACAGAAGGAAAAGCTCTGAAGAAATTCAGCTTGGAAGTATCCAAAGATTTTGCTGAAATGTTTTGGATCTAAATGCAACATTTTAATGTTACTCAATTAAAAACGTTTACTTATG